TTCGAGTCACAATGACATGATGCTTCGCTGGTTGATGCAGCTGATCACAAGGCTAGGTCCGTCTAAGCATCATCTGAGTATCTTACTTGAAGAGCTTTAGAATATGTAGTATATATATACATATATATATTGCTGACTTCGCATACAGTACAAGTTGAGCCCAAGAGAACTACCAAGCTTAAAGAAATTTGTGTTGCATACCTTGAGGAGCGACCGCTTTGAGAATACTTTAAGCATAACACACAGACACACACACACACACACACATTCATACATATATTCCTACAAAGACGTTGGGCAAGCTGGAACTTCTACTTAATTTGGACAAGTACCTGCATAAAGGTGCAAGCATACACAGTGCACACACACACACACTCGCACACATTTCTATAAAACGAAGCTGTCGTCCAAGTTTTCTGTGGCACAAAACAAAATACCAAACGGATATCGAGAAAAAACAGTCTGGCGCTGGCCATTTGCTTGGCCAAAAACATGGGCGTGGGCATGGGCGTGAGTGTGGGCGTGGCGTGGAGTGCTACTGGCACATAGTTTTGATTCGGACTTGTGTCTGGTGCTCGATGCTCGGTGCTCAGCGACAATGCTAAGAGATAAATAAAAGTTTTGCCGCCATTGAATGCCGGGACTAGAACAAGGTGCCACAGTTCCCACTCAGACAGAGAAACATTTATGGAAACTGAACCGAACTGGGCAGCGGCCAAGGAATGCAAAAGTTTAAATTGTATCTGTATCGCTGAACCGGCATCAGCATCAGTATCAGGATACCAGCAAATGAGCTAAAGCGTGGTCCTTGCATGGGGACAATGGACTCCATAGAAAATGCTTACGACATTGGCAAGTGCAAGGCATTTTTGCCCTCGCCAGAGATCGTTTCTATCTATCTAATAATTAGATCAATATTGCGAATTATTCATTATTTAGTCTTAGATATTATCATTGATCTTTCAAGTCCCATCAATAGTATACATCTCTTACGATACAGTACAGAGCATATATTCTTTTACGATATTCGTGAGTAAGCCTGCATTTCTCACGATATTTGTTAGGTGAAATGCTCAGCATTAATTCCAGCTGCTGGCATTGGCTAAATAGCTATGCGAAGTCATGAAATGACCATGATTCGATGGGAAAGAGGTGTCGGGTCAGTCAGCCGGTAGAGTTGCCATAACCGTACCGATCAGCCCTCGCAGCTGTGGTCATTTGCGGCGGCCACAGCCACACGATTTCCGCTGAACGCCAGCTGGGGGATGGCCGATGCCCTCATTGGGCGGCTGTACTTTCTGGCCATTGTTGTGCCAGCCCCCCCCAAAAGCTGCTGGGCTGCCAATGGGGCGCTGACAAAGGCAAAACAAACAGAGGCAAAATCTAGTTAATTGGGTAAAATGCTGTGCGGAAATCGAAAGCAAAAGCACAAACACACAGCAGCATCAGCAGTCAGAGTCAGAGTTGGAGCTGGAGTTGGAGTCGGAGGCGCCAGCAAAAGTTGAAACCAGTTGCATTTGGCATTACCGTTTTGGAGCGGAAATGCCCGGGATCCCGTGCAGCGCCTGCGCTCGCCCGAAATGCAATAAATATCTAAATTGGCGCATGGCAGTCGCATTTGCATGCTCTGTGGCTGCCGGCCATGGCCGGGCTGCCGTTTGTGCCATTGTCCATCGATTTATGCAAATTTCGGCGCACATTTTATCAATAAACAATAATAAATTAAAATCAACAATCATTGTGCACGCCGCTCGCTGGGGAGTCGCAGCCGGGCGCCAAAATTGAAAACGAAATTTATAAATGCCAATTGTCAACGGCCGATGGCTAATGGGCGGCGGCCTGCACTCGCGCTCACGCTAGAGATGGCCACCAGTGGCGCGTGACACGACTGACAGCGAGCAAATATGTGAAGGATATGCGAATATATCAAAGCGAGCACTTGACCAAACAGGCCATTGATAATTTTCCCAACGACAGGTTTAAGTAACGATACTATCGATAACGCATTGATCGACTTAATAGATCTACTGCTTATATGGACTACAATTTATTTTATTTTCGTGTTTTTTTATTTGAAATCTAATAAATAAATACATAGTTAATGCAGAAAAAGTATTAGCAAATTATCCTACGAAATATTATTATTATTATTTATTTTATATTTCATTATTATATATTTTATTTTGATTATTTCTTTTTTTTTTTCAGCAAATTATTGTGCGGTTTATTATTATTATTAATAATTTTTTTTTATATATAATTAATATAATTTTTATTTTAATTATTACTTTTTTTCTAGATTATGTTAAGTAGTGTTCATTTATCATTCACTTAAAACAGATGTAAAATTCTTTACTACAATACTTTATTTCTTTTATTTCCATTCAAAACTAAATATATATTATTAATTAGTAAATGATTAAATTTTGAACTATTTATTTCCACAATAATTGAAAACAACAATTTTTCATTGGTCGAAATGACTAATGAAAGATAATATTTGAAGTTCTCTTCCAGTAAAATCTAGTCCGTTTTTTGCAATAGCTATAGGCTAAGTGGATCGTCTGAACGTCAACCAATATCCAACGACCTTTCGCTAAAATTATTGTCAGTCCCTTGTATTGGTATTATCATCGATGATTCTAAGAGCTCTGGTTATATTAGGAAATTTAAAATAAAAGAACTGTCGATAAGCTATCTATTATTTAGCTATTATATACTATCTGGCCAATTGTGCAGCTTAAATAACCCCACAGCTGATTTCAACACATATGCGTATCAATAATCAACCTACTGATCTTATAGCCAACTCCTCTAATAAAATTTATTGTTATAAGTCCATCACTTGCTCCACGGATTCGGCATTTGGTTCTGCTCTATGCGATATTTATGCACATAGACAAATTTACGCGAATGCTATGCCAATGACAACAACAACAACAACAACCAGCATAACAGTTATTACTGTATTTGCAATCAAAAATGAAACCGAAGCGAAATGCATAACAAATGGAGCACAACTGGGGGCCCTGGCGGAGATTCAAGCATTGACCCAATGCCAAATCGAAATATCCCTTATACGATAGAGCACAAATTAAATTATTTAATAATAATAGCAATAATTTGAGTTAGATGGGGTGTGCATGGACAACAAACAGAGCTGTCGGCATCCATGCGCCTAAATTGATATAGTATTCGAGATTTTATAGCGCAAATATATTATTCTCTACCTCTCTATCTCCCTCTCTCTTTCTCTCTCTCTCTCTCTCTCACTCTCTGGTTAATGCAATTTGCATTTAGATTAAAACTGTGCAAAAAATGGAGTTTTTAGCATCAATCATATATAAAATGTTTCTTTTTTTTCACATACATATATGTATATACAGATCCAGCTCCTGCTCCCCCTCCTGCCAGCCAGCTATAAATTTCCTGTTCATATTTTGGCTATTTAAAGAATTCTCGTTAAAAAAAAGTTGAGTGAATGAGTTGAGGCCGTGCCTCCCTGGCCAAACGAAATACTTTTGCATTCATTGAGGAAAGCGCGATGAAGATTAAGAAATAACAGCCGCATTCCTAGCGGGCATCATGAAGCCACAAAGGGGGTTAATTGCGGGGGTGTTCAGCTGGCAGCGCATTGCTTCGCGCTTTTCGTTTACTCTCGCCGTTTTTTGTGTTTTTGTTGGTTCAGGTTTTGGCTTGTTGGGTCAGTTTTGCATACTTTTGTGCGGGGCACAGGAAAAAAATTTGCATTTTCCATTTCAGGGCGGGCGCTCGCGTCAAATGAAAAGCGCCACGGCAGCTCCCTCGAATTTGGGCGCCAGCCAGCAGAACCGCTACAGATAGCCCGCCCAGTCAATGAATGAGCGCGCGGGCGGGCGGTCGCTCGGTCCGTGCGGGTCTCTGTCAAAGAATGGGCGTGGCGCAGGTCAGATGCAAACTGATGATTTATTACGCTTTTGGCATTATTGATATTTTATTTGTGTGCGTTGAAGTCATTTAGCTCCACTGCAAAGGCAATTGCAACTGCACCGGAATCCCCAGCAGTCTATCTGCCAACAGGCTAACGACTCAGCCTGGACAGGCATAATTAATTCTTTGTTTGACATCTCAGCAGGGGCTATACATATGCAACACATACATAGGTGCGCATGTGTATGTGCATATTCGCACTGAGCCATAGGCGAAGCAAGAGAAGATTAAGTTAAATCATTTAACTGCATTTCACGAGAAATTCTCTGGCACTTTGCACTCTTAACGATATACTCTATACGGCTCGATAATCGAGCATTGTGCACCTGAAAATAGTATTCGTACAGCTGCAGGCATGACCTCTTCTACTGAGCATATTTTCAATTAACATTTATGGGAATATATTTAGGAAGACTGGAGAGGAAAAGAAACAGGTTGTTTAACTCTAATCGTTAGCTATGCAACACGTATGTAGGTGGATCATCTCGGGCAAACCTTTTGCACTGAGCTCTATTCAACATCGTATTTGCTCGGGCTCCATATCAATGCACTCGTACCTCGACTGAGGTGCACTATTTGTGTTTGCTTTCTGCTCTCTTCTCTCCGCTCTCTACTCTCCACTCTCCACTCACTGCTCCATAAATGATATTACTTCTTCCCCAAGAGGTGGCTTTTATTCGTTCAACTCAACTTCGTATTTGTTCAGGCTTTATTTATACTTGCGGGCGATCACTCCACTCGATTCGCGTCTGACGTTCCTCTGTAAACAATGTATGCTTTTTCTCTGCGGTCCGCTCTCTACTGTCTGCACTCTGCTGTCCACTATCCGCTCTCCACTCTCAGGACCTGCTAGTTTCTCTGTTCACTCTCATCTGCTTCCCACTTTTCCCCGTCTCTCACTCTGTCACTTTTCGACATTACTAAACACTTTGTATACTTTATTCATCGTGTTTTTCCCAATCAAAGCAACTTCAAAGCAGACGACTACGGCCAGCTTTCATCGTAGTTGGCTCTGGGAGCAGAGGCAAGCAGTCTCAGCATTTGGTTCAATAGAACACACTTATTTCGATAGCTTGGAACAAAATCTGTAAATCAAACGCCGTAAAGCATTTAAATTAAAAACCAAAAAAATGTCCTTGTACAATTGGACTCGTTCCTGCCTGAAGGTCCATCGCCTGGCGCTCTGCACCTCGCATCTGCAGCGCCTCAAGTCCGACTACTCGAAGACCATTTGCAATTTGAAGATCAACAAGGAGACGAAGCTGCTGGTGCAGGGCTTCACGGGCAAGCAGGCCACCTTCCACGCCGAGGAGGCCCAGAAGTATGGCACTACGATTGTGGGCGGCACCTCGCCCAAAAAGGGCGGCACCACCCACATGGACCTGCCCGTCTTCAAGAACGTGAAGGAGGCCGTCAAGGCCGTCAAGCCGGACGCCACGGTGATCTTCATTCCGCCATCGACGGCAGCCATCGGCATATGCGCCGCCATTGAGAACGAGGTGGGACTGATTGTGGCCATCACAGAGGGTATTCCGCAGGTGGACATGGTGCGCATTCTGCAGATGCTGCACAGCCAGGAGAAGTCGCGTCTGCTGGGACCCAACTGCCCGGGAATCATATCGCCCGAGCAGTGCAAGATCGGCATCATGCCCGGCCACATCCACAAGCGCGGCTGCGTGGGCATCGTCTCGCGCTCCGGCACCCTCACCTATGAGGCTGTGCATCAGACAACGAGCGTGGGCCTGGGACAGACCCTGTGCATCGGCGTTGGCGGCGATCCCTTCAATGGCACCAACTTCATCGACGCCCTCAACATATTCCTCTACGACAAGGAGACCAAGGGCATCATACTCATCGGCGAAATCGGCGGCTCCGCCGAGGAGGAGGCAGCGGACTTCCTCAAGGCAAACAACTCGGGCTGTGATGCAAAGCCAGTGGTGGCATTTATAGCCGGCGTCACAGCTCCGCCGGGACGCCGCATGGGTCATGCTGGCGCCATCATATCCGGCGGCAAGGGTGCCGCCTCCGACAAGCTGAAGGCCCTGAAGGCCGCTGGTGCCTTGATCGCCCTCAATCCCAACCACCTGGGCAGCATACTCCACACGGAGATGGTGCGCAAGAAGCTGGTCAGCCCCAAGTAGTGGGCAGCCGGGCACCACCCTACGGACGGCCGAACGATGCGGCGAAAAGCTATCAACTGATGTACCATTGAATTTCATTGCTGATTCGTGATTCTGGTTTTCCACAACGTTTAATTCTATACGAGACTTCCAAGCACATTTTCACACATTTCATTGATTTTCACAATTGGCCCAAAGGGCATCCAAATTAACTAAAGCAAACAAGCCAAGAGAAATGAAAAAAGAACGCATATCAAAAATACGATTACAAAAATACTATTTAAATAATGTTTTAAGGTTGGTAGAACAGCAATGCAATTGCCATGAAATTTACATATTCTGAGTAGTATACGAAGCCATATAATAAAGCTATTATATCACGTTCCCAATGCTGCATGACTGCTTGTAGACATACAGAAGGGTATAGAACATCAAGTGATCTTAACTGAATGATGTCGACAGCGAGCAGTTGTGAGAAAGAGACAGGGCGAGTGAAGTATATGCAGCTTTAGGGGATATATATTAAGTCAAAATCTGATCTGATCCGATGTCTGTCTATATGCATGGCATATGACAGATATAGTATATATGTTGAATATAATGTGATTTGATACTGCAAAGCTTACAGCAGAGTCTAAGAGCAGCGTGTGAATGAGATAGAGATGGAGCGAGGGAGTGAGAGGGAGAGAGAGAGAGAGAGAGGTACAGAAGTAGTATTTGTGAGAGACCGCCTGCTTGCGTAGAACTGTAAAAATATACACTTTAATTAGCACTCTCTGACTGAGTGAAAGAGCGAGAGAGAGAGAGGGAAAGAGAGTGAAAGCGCACAAAATAGGCAATGCTTAACATAGTCTCGGATGTTGCTGAGAGAGTGAGAGTGAGATGCCCTTCGAGGTCAGTCGTACAGAGTCGTTGTGATTGTTAGTGGACGCAGGGAAGAAATGACCTTTGATTTTTATTTTTAATCATGTATTTAATTTTTTTATTTAACGAATTTTCTGCTCAACGCGACAGACAGGAAAATCAGAATAGGAGGTTTCTAATTTGGCAGCCACACTTTCCTGCCTGTTATAATCAATATTCTGTATTATATTGTATTACTTATAGAACTTATTGACCACGTAGATTATTTTAAAGTTGAGTAAGCTGCGAGCTGCTTTCAGATTTTTCCCACTTTTGTTGATCAAGATTTGTTTGATTACGACTAACCCATTATACCACAACGTCTTTTGAGCACTCGCCGTTCTATGTGATTCTCATGAATCTCAGGACTTGCTAATTTCTTTGTTCACTCTCTCCTGCTTCCCACTTGTCCCCGTCTCTCACTCTTACTCTTGTTATATATGTATCTTCTCAATATGCGTTAAATAATCTATATATTGTATGATCCATATGGCATCTCATTATTATTATACATGTATATTCACCATATTCCATAAATATTCCATACATAAGTCATATCATCACATCAGCTGACTTTAGCTCATGTTAGCTTTATCCTTAGTTCAGTGGGTCAAAATTAATTGCATAGCTCTTGCGCCCATTGCTGGATAGGCTGACCTATAATGGCTTTTACTATATATTATTCTACTATATGTTATCTATATCACATATCTATCTCTCTCAGGATAGCCTGACCCACCCGAAGTGCTATAGTGACTTTAATCGCCTTTCTTATACACATGTATTACCTCTATAGTCTATATCATATGTACATATGCCATCTCCAGCAATAATTCAATTAAATTAAAGCGCGCTTTAAGCGTGTGCATCGTTCCAGCCAGTTCAGTGGGTCAGTCAGCGCGGCGTGGATTGCGCTAGGATAGCTCGACCTGCAGCTTGGGGCAGGCAATTACACGAGTTTCATTTGCTTTAGAGCCAAGTTCAGTCAACTTTTGGTGTTATGTCTGTGCGCCAAAAAGCTAATTTTGTTACGTTGTCTGTTTTGTTGCTGTTGTTTGTGTGTGTGTGTGTGTGTTGTGTGGGTGCTACAACCACCTTGCCTGTTGTGGTGTTGTTATTGTTGTTGCTGCTGCTGCTGCTGCTGCATGTCATGTCGTGGCGCTATTTTTCCGTGTTTTGCCTAACTGCCGGCTATAAACTAATTACCGCACACTTTTTGCAGTGCTTTGTTGTTCTTTGCTTTCTTTGCTGTTGTTGTTGTTGCTGCCAGTTGTGGGTGTTACATTCGTGCTGTCTGCGAACTGCGTCCCCGCCAACGATTATGTTGATAATTGGCGTTGGCGTGTCGGCATCACGTGGCGTATGCGCAACGTTGCCAGCTGCAGCCAGCGACAGCTGCTCCCTGTTGGCCAAGTTGCCAGCTACCTGGCCATCTACTTGACAAATATTTAAATCATTTGCTGTCAGGCAAAAGTCAGGTACGTGTGCATGTGTCTCTGTGTGTGTGTGTGTGTGTGTGTGTGTGTGTGTGGCAAGTATGTCTCTTATCCAACTGGCGCATAATTTAACTAAAAGCAATTCAAAAGGCAGCTCGGCAGCAGCAGCAGCACAAAGTGAAGCCAAGTGTAGCCGAGCTTCAGCAACTGCTAAATGCCAGCAGCCATGTACCAGCCACGCCCACCATTTGTGTAGCGACAGAGAGAGAGAGAGAGAGAGAGGAGGGTGGGGATGGGGGTGGTGCAAGCACACACTTGAAAATATACGGCAACGTAAGTTCTTGGCACTGTTTCTGTCGACGGCTTTAAAGTATTTGCCCGGCTTTCTTTGCCAGCTGCTTAGGTGTCAACGGCGCACTCGAGCAGCGTGTATTCCAGTGAGTTATTCCTTTCCAAGCTCTTTACCAAATCCCACAGCATTGCATACACAGAGCGGCTAGACAAGGCACACACACACTCACACTCACCTTCATTTAGCAGTTGGAGCAGTTGAGTTCCCAACAAGTGCCGCACTTCTATGGACGAGTGTGCAGCACAAATGCATTTTCCTTATTAAAAACCCATACACGAGCTTGTGTGCGTGTGTGTGTGTAGGTGTGTGTGTTTCATTTAAATTAAATAGTAGGTGGCAAGTGACAAGTGGGCGGGGCGCGGGCTGGTGTCCAAACAGGGCCAGAGAGCTAGCCAAGCTCTTCAAAAATAATTTTGGGTTTGCTGCGAGGGTCACTCGACCGCAGCTACAGTGAAATGCAATTACAATTGCAATCGAGCTGACAAAGCCACCCACAGAGCTCCTTACCCCGAAATGCATTTCGATTTTTGATTGTGTGAGAGGTGAGAGCCCGGCCCCTGCGAGCAGGTGGTAATTGCTGCCTGCGGTCACTGCGGTTATTAAGCATGTCTCCAGCCAAGCTTGACATTTGATTAAACGAGACTCGCATCGAGTGGAACACTAAAGCCTCAGCATTTTGTGTCACCTCAATTTCGGCAAAAGAATTCCTTCCCATCGATATCTGCTCGAGCGAGTCGTGGAAATTGTCAAAGGGAGCCGAATTCACACAAAGCGATTATTTGCATAATGCAAGCAAGCCCTCATCGATGTGAGACCTAATTCAATTATTGATTCACTCAAGACTCGACACTCGACATTGTTATTGGCTCTGCTCTGTCCATTAAACCCAATCATGGCATTGCTGTGCCATCAACCACAGTTCTACAACCACTCACTGGGCGGCCACATATCAAACTAATTGAAAACCGAAGCCTGCACTGGCTGAGCCAATTCGAAAAAAGCGCAAGACGGACGCACACACACACACACGCACACATAGATGAGCTGCTATGACTACAAACAGAACCCTAAATTGTTGCATTTAATTGGGACGATTGGAAGTTTTGTCGTTTCATCAACAGCAGCGCCTCGCCCAGCCACGCCCCACTTCGCCCCTGGTACGTATGTATAACAATTGTAACCGCATTTTTGTTCACAAAGCCAAATTGGTTTATTTTCTTGCCAAATTCTCGTAGCACAAAGAGAGAGAGAGAGAGAGAGAGAGAGAGAGAGAGAGAGACATGGCTGGCACATTGGAAAAATGGAAAAATGGGAAAATTCATGCAAGGCATTTATCCTCAATAAGTCGGAATGAATTTGTCAATTTATGTAGAGGAGCATACGAGAGGAGCTTGAGCCGAGAACATTTACAGAGCCCACCAGATCCACCGCACCCACCGAACCACAAACATCAAGCGCTGAGCCACAGGTCTCAGCAGGCCAAAATAATGTTTTGGCCATTGGCGTTCGTTTCTGTTGTATTCCGAATTTGGCAACGCAACGGCAAACAGCTGAAATGTTGCACGTGCCACGCCCACTCGAGCACAGCTGGCAGCTGTCACTGGATTGACAATTACGAAAATTGTGATTTTATTTGACAAAGTTTCGACTGGGAGACGATTGCGATTGAATGTATTCAATGATTACTAACGATGATGATCGAAACGTTGAACTTTTGCCGCAATTAACGTGGCTTTGACTGCGCGCAAATCGATTTGAATATTCAGCTTATTCGCAATACGCCATTGACATTCGATAGGGCAACTGCCGACTGTAAACTGTAGGCAATGCAATGAATAGCCGAGCAGCTCGTGACACGACCTCTATTTGTTCGCCAATCACTTCTATATGCATGGATATTTATTCATTGCGAAATGCCATATGCATATTTGCTACAAGCAAATAGAATTTATTATATGTGTATATATGCACTTCATCAACTATATGTATATATATAAAAAAAACACGCATTCCTGGCAGACGCCAGCTCTGCTCTCCCCTCTCGCCTGGCTGCAAACTATGCAAATTTGCCAGCACATGGTTAAAAGCTGTCAACTTTTATGCTTAGCGCGCAAATAATTAGAAAAGTTCGTTGACTGCTGACCAAAAGCCCGCAAAGCCCCATAAAGATAACAACAAAAACAAGAACAACAACAACAAACAGCTGAACATCATCATGTGCGAGAGGGATTCAATTAAATATGCAAAAATAAATTTTATATTAGACTAAAAAAAAAAAGATTTGGCTAAATTACAGCCGATAAATACTCTAGTTTATGATAATTATACAATAATAATATTTATTTTATTTAAATATTTGATTTTCTATTTATATATATTTAATTTAATTATTAATTATTGATTTATTTTTATTTTATATTTATTTATTTATTTACTTAGTTCTTTTTGCTTAAACATTTATTG